AAGTGTGGGCATTGGAACATTCTTGTAAAATGTTCCACCTCCTGCTTAGAGAAATGCACTGATGGTGCTATTGATGGTATCTTATAATTCAGCCTATCACAGAGAAACTGCTCAGTTGCATGAAGGGTATAGAAAAGACCAAAAGTCATGTTAAATCCACACTAATTAATGTTCTATGATTCCCACAGAACATCTCCTGGGACTAGTTTTGAGGGACACGCTGTCAGACAGTAGTATTGTTCCTTTCTTTTAAACTCTCCAAATGATACACCAGATCTTAAGACCATGACAACTTTGGTCTAAGGCAGCTTTTATGTCCTTCCTCCTTCCCTCTCTTTCTCTCTCTTTCCTCTTTTCTTCCCTTCCTTTTCCTCCTTCTAGGGTTTTTCTATGGGTGACATATGAATTGTTGTGACAAAAATGCCACAAATGTGTTTGCATGTGACTGATAATTGGCTTGTGGACAACCCACTCTGTCTATACATGCTGAGAGGGCTAGTGTTGGGCTGGTAAGAAGGCCATACCCCGGACAAACTCTGTCAAGCCATCTGTGAGGGTTAAATCAGGCACCCAACCCATGACCATCCAGAGTGGAAGATTTCTCACTAAAGCTCAGATTCTTAAGAATAGGAATTGAGTCTTGTTCATCTTAGCCTCCACTGCACATAACATACAGGAGGTACTTGATAATGCTTGTTGAATAAATGGATATAGTTCAGTATCCATCTATAACAGAGTTTAAAATTGTGTGCTAATTATAGATGGCAGAGAGGACTCTGGGGTGCCTCTTACCTCAGAGGCCAGGAGAAAAGCCAAGAGTACCCTGGGTGTGTGCACCATTGATCAAGCAGATGGTAGCCGCACATCCTTAAGTGAGAGCGTCCATGTTTCCATCAACATATTCTCCCTGGAGGTGGGTGTCTATGTATCTGAACTCTGGACCAGGAGTTTCGGAATAAATGCAGACCTTCCAGCTGGAGATCTATTTTCTTGTCTTTAAAGTCTTCTGATCCATAATAAAAACAAAAATGGACAATTGAATTTTCCTTTCTTTTCTAAGCCAAAATGAAGTGCCTTGTGTGTCATTGGCACTTACTCAAGAAATGTTTGAATGACTGATTTGAATATGTAGGCAAGCTGGCAGGGACATCTGTCACAGTGCTGATGGCCAGCATGGATTTGGCTGGTCCAGCTGGCTGGGCGGGGTTCCTCCTCTTCCCTTGGTGCTCCTCCCAGAGCTCCGGGAAACAGGCTACCTTGTAAGATTGAACAAAGCTTTTTTTCTTCTGTTTAAGGATATATATGACATTTCCCATGGTGTTTCTTTATTGTTTCTTGTTAGCTATTCACCTCCATTTGCATAGCTTCCTTATTTGTTCATAACAAATCCCACCATTCTAACTACCACAGCTATCTGGAGTTGTGGAACACCTTCCTTTCCCAATTTCCTCACGTGGCAGGAATTTCTCAATTTTCTTAGCATCTTCAATCCTAGGGTTGGTTTCTGCATCAGGGCCCATTTTTCTGATGGAAGGTTTTTGGCGGAGCTGCCAGACTCATAAAACAAGGTAATGGCCTTTAGGAAGTAATCACATTAGCTATTGTTTCACAGCAGTTGCCCTAAGAGCCTGGAAAGGACCATTCAATTTCACCTCAGAGGAGCAAAAGGAAAAACAGTCACTGTGGCGGTAACATGTAGATGGCAGGGAAGGTGACTGCTAATTTTACAAGCTCCTGGAGACATTCTGGCACCTTCACAGGACACCAGGAGACAAGCAGTCACTTTTGCTGGCCAACTTTTCAATCTCCTAACATTGAAAAACTCACAGAGAAAAGAACTTTATTCCATTATGCCATTTTGCAATTTTCTCTAAGATCAATATTGCATGTGGAATGCCTGATGGGAAATTGCTATAAAAATGGTAGCTAACTGTAGGTTAGTAGATATAACAACCCTCTTCCTGGAGACCTTGTACATATAGGTTGAAGGATAAAGTAGGGCTGAATTGTATTTATTTCTTTGTGTTTATCCAAGTCACTGGCCCAGGCAGGAAGGTAATATATGAAAAGGGACATTTTTGGAATAACTGTTTTTGAATTATGCTTATGAAATATATACTCTGCTATGGAGGACATGTGGGAAAACTACATTCTGACCGCATGACTAATTTTTTAAAGCCTTGCATAGAGAGAATTCTCCCCAAGAACACAGCTGGGTTATTCCTTTGTGGACTGAATGTGTCAGTTATGAAGTGAACTAAAGTGAAATTTTATTCCATCATGACAAAGTGAACTGAGAGTGGACACTGCAGCTAAGGTATTACGTAGTAGTTCATACACCAAGTACTATTATTTTATTAACTTTAAGAACATGTTTTACATAAAAACAAGCAACATCAAAAAAGCTCAGTTGATAAATGAAGATAATATATCACAGATGACTTCATTCCACATTAACCTACATTTATTAGCTTAAACTGAGAGATTAGGAAAAAATTAGATGTCATTCCAGCTTTAATCATGTATACAAATCATTTTGAAGTTATTTCATTAAGATTCTCAAAATAAAAAATTAACCTATGCCATCTGATCCATGCAGCAATTGATAAATTCAATATTTTCAAAGGAAACATTGAACTTTTTTTCTTGCACCAAATTGAAACCTTTCAGAAACTTGTATAAATTTATCAAGTTCCTAACCCACCTTTTTAGTGTGCATGAGCAAAATACTATTTAATTTCACACTCAACTAATTCTTTAATCATTTTCTTTCAATCAGAATGAAAAATGCTATTATTAATTTCCTAATAAAACATTTAAAAAAGTTATAGAAGCTATGACTCTAACCTTGGACTGGTTTCAATTTCTTCTCATTTTTTTTCCTGAGAATACATCAAAGATTAATGTCAATGGCAAGTGAAAAATTGTCCCTAGAGAACTTCAAGATCTTTTTCTTACCACATTGAATTGGACTGGAATGAATTGACATTATAGCATCTTGATCATCACTTTTAAAGTCCTACTTTCTCTTTACACCAAATGTGAAAGCTTATAGAACTATTATTTACTTTAAATTACTAAAGTGTATCACAGACAAAAATATACAATTTTACATTGAAGCAACATTAAGGATCTCACTTCAGTTGACCAAAAAAGAATGTTGAGGAAATTTGCAGGTTGTTTTAGTTGTAAAGATTGCTTTTCCTTTAGGGAAAAAGAAATAAACGAGATCTCTCACTTGTCTCCAAGGGCAAGATATCATAAACCTCATGATCAAAATGCTGCCAGATAGAAACTCCCTCACTGAGAAATGATCACTACAATTTCAGTGTGAAGCCCAACAATAACAGAAGCAGCAGCAGCAGCAATAGGGGTGGGGATCAGGGGACAAAACCAAGGGGAAGAAAAGCCCACCCAACCAGAAGCATTCTAAGTCTCTGCATTGACTTTCCTGTTTCTCACCAGTTTAAGACCTTTAATGTTACTCAATGTATGGTTGCATATTTGAGATATTAAAAAGTAAAAGACTGGCTTAAAAGCACCTCCACCTCAAGTGTATGTGTGTGTGTGTGTGTGTGTGTGTGTGTGTGTGTGTGTGTGTGTGTGTGTGTATGAAATTTCTCATATATATATGAGAAATATGCTAATTAGCCAGGACACCATAATGGGCTGACCAGACAGGAGGAGGTTGCGCGCACAGCTTCAGGGGGCGGGGGGAGGCAGGGGCCTCCACACGCCTGAGCTGGGGGAGGGCCTGACCAGTAGCGGCCATGGCTGCTTTAAGGGTCAGAGAGGGAGTGGCCAGCACCGTGCGATTTCCAATCGCGCTCTGGGCTCCTAGTAATTACATAAAAATTAAAGATTCTTATGACAGTCCTTGGGACCCCATTTGCTACTGTTTCATGTATAAGCACCATTGAGCCATTTTAAAAGCACATTTGCAAGGGTCAAGTGTTTAGTGTGTCCTCAAGTGCTGTTGATTTATTTGCTTTTAAACAACAAAAGTTTAAAATGCGCTAGTTGACACTCTTCTGATCATAACTGAATTGACAAAAATGTTATTTTTGGAAGTGTTTTGAATCACTACTTTCTCCAACAGACTAGAATGGCTTCCTGAAACTTGTTGATTAAGTAAAGAAACACATAATTCCCAAAGAAGCATATATCTGACCCTCTATCACTGCATGCAAAGTAAGGGTTCATCTGAGAGTATTTTTCCCAACTCCTAATGCAAGTAGCAGACAACACAAAGGAAAAACTAATCTTTGAACTGACCAACTTCAATTTTTAAAAAAGTTTGACTGAGAAAAAAAATCATGTAAGACTTAAAAATTTAGTGATTTACAAATTATAGAAAAGATATGTTATCTACAATATATGCTAGGTGCATTATTTATTTTTTTGAAACCTACATCCAAATGAATGCATAAAAACCACCATCTTGGATCTTGGTGCTTTCCAAACTTCTGAAATCTCAGTGAAGGAGAAGACATACCAGGTTTTCTTGTTATTTTCTCAGGAGAATTGGGCAGAGATGAGAAGGAAGTGAGCCTTCACTCTGACACAGGCCTTCTAGAGCAAACCAGCTTAGGGCACCTTTTTATGGTTCAATTAAAAGTAGTTTGAAAGTAGTTTATCACAGAAATTCAAGAGATTTTTTACCCTGAGAGGGCTAGCAGGCAACACAATAATATTAACAAAGCTCTCCCTCAAGCACAATTGCACTACCGCAGGGGGATAGAGTTGTCGGATGGGTGCCCTTGGCCAACAAACCACCATGATTTAATGGAGTTTGGTAGCTCTGTGACCCTGTAAACTAAGTCAATTTTTCCTTCCTCTTTTTTTCCAACTGTAATATGCTTCAAAGGGTAAAGGATTGCAATTTTAGCCTTTCTTCATGGATATATTGCTTTCTTCCAACAACATCTGACCGGGCTGTTAGCCACAACCCAGGGGGGTACTGAACAGTTGCATGAGGTCTCATGGAATACAAAACACCAAGCATTTTCAGTAGTTTATTTGCATTTTTTCTCTGCTTATTTTAATATGCACCATGTGTAAGTTAGATGAGGGCTACTGTAAAAACATTTTTAATGACTGAAATCTTACTTTTCCTTCTAACGATTTGGAGAAAACCACATATTCATTGATTGTGAAGAATAAAGTGATTTCTGCTACAATGTTTCAAAAAAGTATTCATCAACATGAACAGTTCTCATCTACAGAGATGATTAACACAATGCAAGTAATGGAAGTGTTCTTTCTTAACTAGTCTACTAGTGAACTGAAAAGTAGAATCTTAAAATTTTCTTGAAAATACTATATGGTTGATTATGTATTAATAAAGGAAAGACAGTCCCCATCACCATACTAACACCATAAGAGCTATATTAAATACTTAGAAAAAAATATGGAAACACTTATGGCAATGATTAAAATGATAATTACAGAAGTACACTCCCATAATGGTACATATTTATTTGATGATGAAGTGAAAAAAAAGATCAATTTGGTTATAGAAATTACTTAAAGAACACTATCACTTAATGAATTCAAACTTGAACTATCCCAAGAATGTCATGAAAAAAAATTAGAAAGCATTGGCTAAAAGCAAAACAGTCTGAATATACCAATGTAATCAGCATGCCTTGTGCTTGTCTGTTAACCCTTTGCGTACATTTCTGATATTCAGGATCTTGACAGCTTGATGCTGAAAAGATTGCATTCCATCTGATTACTCAACATTTCCACTTGACATATCACATACACTGTTTACTCAGCATAAATCACAAATTTGACAGCAATGCGTTGGGCTCTCCATGCTGAATGGGCCCTATATTCTTCTGAGCTGCTCTCTGAAGTGTGTTGTGAAACACTCCCCAGCTTCACATGGTCCACAGTCTCCCAAGACTTGGATGGAAAAAGGCTGAGCCATGCACTATAAGTTCTGTACACTAAATGCTGTACCAATACATGTAATGTCCACGGGAAAAGCAGTAATTCGGAGAAAGAAAGGAAAGTGACAATCTTATGTAGGTAGGTCTCTGCTCATAAGATTCTTCATAGTCACACATTTAGAGTTGAGGCCATGTTATATGGCTACTCCAGTGCTACTTAGAATAGTGCTTTGCTTTATAGTTCTAGACAAAGCAGTATTTCTGAACAGTTCTGGGTACTTCACTTATGTGGAATCTTTCTACACACCAACACCTTTCCTGGTATTCTGCCCTCACCCCAACCTTGACTGAATTGTGCTACTCTGTGATATTGTATCATTTCAGGACTCTCTAAAAGGGGGACAACTTTTAATAAAAGCTTACATGTCAGGACAACACATACTAAAGAAATAAACCTAAATGTAGAAGAGCAAAAAATTGAGGGAACTACTTTGTAAAAATCATGACATGGTAGGACCTTAAAATCTATATTAACATAGGGCATAGTTTATGAGTTAAAGAGTAAAAGCAGCAATTGAAGACAAATGTGTATTTGAAAATAAAGAAATGTCAAAGACCTTCAGATAGTGAAATATATTCAAAACAGAGACAGTAAGTGCTGTTCAGCTTTACATATGCAAATTTTATGAGACCTCACTCTTTGGTTGTCTCCTGCATCTCAAAACTGAGCAAACCTTAGGAGGACATTTGAGTTGGGTCCTTGCCTCCAAGACACCATGGCTAGCCTTTTCTCTAAGCATCACAGTAAAGCACAGGAGGCCCCCATTCTGAAATGTGACACATTCCAGAAGAAACTCAATGGAGATACAGGGCTAGGGATCAAGGTTTTGTCACATGAGTGACAATTCAGGTGTCAGACAGGACTTGACCCATAGATAGAAAAATAACATGCCCCTCTAGATAGCTAAAGACAGCGGTGTATAAAAAGGGCACCTTAGGGAATGGAAGTTTCATCCTCAGTGGTATCTTCCAGTTCTCCTATCCTGTTCTTCCTGGGAGATCATATGTAGGAAACCTAAAGGTACACAGGAAATGATCTTATCAGTGTTTTATTTCCTTAAAACCCATTTTAAAAATATTCTAGATTGTTTTCTCACTGTGCTTTCTCCTTGGTCACCTTGCAAAAACACTTTGCCTCTAGTCCCCTGTGCCCCAGCACTCCTGCGTATGGATTTTATATTCTATGGATTTCACACTGAAGACAGCAGTGCATGGAAAAGCAGGTGAGAAAAAAGACCAGGATCTTGTTTCCTCTTTCTGTTTGAAATTCCAGTCCTATAGAGCACCTGGCAATTTATTGCTCTTTTCTACCAGTTTTTTTTTTTTTTTTTTTTTTTTTTTTTTTGTCCTGTAGATGGCTCATACTGAGCAGGCAGACCCTCCCTCACCAAGCACAAGACAAGGTATGTGTGTGCCTTCCTGAGGGTCTGCGCTGGCACTAGCAGCAGCTGATGTGGAAGCAGCATTTCTGGAGTGATATCAGCACATCTTCATATGGAGATAATTTTGGGGGAGGGGGGGACCATCTTTTTTGTGGGTCAGGCTGTTTGCCACAGGACCAATTTCCTCCACTTGGGATGCAGAACTCATGGCAGCTGAAAGTCGTACCTCTAATGAGAAAAGTCTCTTTCTTAATAGGACTGTGAATAAGAAAGAGGGGTGTTTATGCCTAAGTTATAAAACGGCCATGATCTAAACCTATAGAAAAGGAAAAGCAAGATATCATTCTAGGTGCCTTTCTTTTCTGGATATTGTGGCATCTAAAAACACCCCTAGATCTGCAGCAAAATCAAGAAATGTGTCTATACATCCAAAGGCCTGGAAAATTCCCCAAGGGGTCTCCAAAAGCCATGCACTCAGAGGGTTAACATGTGCTTATTACACACTGCAGATCCTAGTTTGACTGATGAAAATATTCATTGCTTTTAAATTTTAAAAAGTTGCCAAGTAGACTTAACCCTTTGAGGATCCTATTAGCAGCAAGTTGCCATCTTTACAAACAACATATCTTATTCAGCAAAGGGAAATTACTACAAAGGTACCAGAAAACACACTTTCTGTTTCTGAGTGCTAGATAGATCAGATGAAACTGTTTTACATAATTTGGGGGGGAAAATCAGAGAGTCTCAAAGGGTTAGGCTAGGGCTTCGAGTAAAAGGGTCTTATTAAAAGGGCGAGTTTGGGGAGCGAACAGTCTCTGATGAGCTTGGGGAGTAGTCTTCAGATTCCGAGTTGAGTTCAGACGGAGCTGGCTGTGCCTTGTATCGGCTCCTCACATCCTGGTTGCATCTTCGTCGGAAAACCTGCCTCTCCTTATCAAGAGCGGTGGTCTAGCAGGGGCATAAAATGAGAAAGAGGACAATTAGGCTGAAGGAAAGGGCACAAGAAACTCTGAAACTTCTGAGGTCAGAAAAATATACTGGCCAAAGTAACCTATCCATTATGGCTTATTTTTGTTGACAACAATTACCACTGTTGGGGAGCTCTCTGCTCTCCAAGTTGTAGCTGCTAGGAGCACCTGATCATGACATCAGCAGGCACAGGCAGGATGGATGATGTTGTGGGTTCAATTCCTCCCCAGCCCGCCCCAGACTTCCCCTAACTCTGCAACCATGACCTCTGGTGGCAACCTGGCCAGCCAGAGACCCCTGGTAAATGGGCATCCCAGGCCTGTGTGTCTAACATGTGAGGATGCCAGGCGTGCCTCATTCATCATCACTCAGCTCAAGGCAACTGTATAATAAAGATAAAAAGTGATGAAGTTGTCAGACATGGAAACAGAGCCACAAGCTCATCCTATTATTTTAGCACCTTCTCCTTCTAAATTATCTTATTATCTGCTGACGAGGGAGTACAGCTGAATCTCTGGGAAGAATTGTTTTAATTTTAATGAAACCAATGTCTGAAATTGAAAATTGCTTTGAGTGTAATTAAACCAAATGGAAACTTTCCAAGGATTTTTCTTTACAAAGTTCATTTTCATCATAGTATGTGGTGATTTATGAAACTGAGATTCAGTTCTGTAGGTATTCCAGCTCCTGGTCTCCAATCCTCATTTTCCTGAGGAACCTCAGACGATTGCCAGGCTGTGCGATCCAGCTGCAACTCTGGAAGCTATTATGACATCAGAACTGGGAACGGAAGACATGACTTCATTACAGATTTAATGGGTGTGGGAGGAACGGGGTCATTACAGAAAAACCTTACACAGAGAGCAGAAGAGCAGGTACAAAACCTGATGAAAAATATAGAATACATATAAAAGCTTGAAGGCATCCTTGTTTGAAAGTCCCTCTTTAAAAGAATGTAGCCTGGAGGTTATTCTGCTTTTAAGAGATTACTTATCCTCTACAGGGATATATACTACTATTTTTTCCTCTTGAAAATTTACTATTAGCTTCTTCAAAGAATGGAGATAAATTTATAGCTGGCCTGGTTCTGAGAACAAAGTGAAAACTATGTCTCTCTTACAACTGCAGTATAGCATTAGAGCAATCTTAGATCTAAAGTAGGGCAATCAAAGTTCTGAAATGAACTAATAAAGAGGGAAAAAGAGGCAGTGTGTAGAACCGATAGAGCAAATGGCTTCATTAGGTTGAGCTGTGCCGCTTTAAAACTGTCCACAAACTGAATAACAGTTTTATAGACTCAATGAGGAAGATAAAGTTTAGTAATTTACTTCTCATTTCACTAGATTGTTAATACAATTATTCAATAACTGGTTTGTTGAAATGTCTATGTTTCATTCTTCTACTTGTCAAATTTTTACCCACTGATTTTGTTATTTTTAGCATCATAAACTCAGATTCCTAACTTTATTTAAAACACTGTAAAGTCACAGCACATGGTATTTTGCTTTCAAAGCAAACTAAAAATATCTGTTTGTGCAGAGATGTTTGCAAAAAACAGACATGTCTTTAGTCTGACTTACATAAAAACCATTCTGTAGTTAATCCAAGAGTAATATAAACTCTTCTCATGCTCATAAAAAAATATTTCTATTTCTACCTTCTTGAGAAAGAAAAAAGTCCTTGGTATTGGACTTAATACTGACTAGTGAATGGAGGCTTTCGGGTGTGGGGAAGAAGTGCATACTAGGCTATAGGCAGGGATTTTGAGTCCTGCTCTGTCCACTGCTGGCTGTGTGAATCATTCACTCTGTTCTCAGTTAAATGAGGAACAGACCTAATCCCTTCCCACCCTCCCAGAGTTGCTGTAGGTAAAGATAGATGTGCAAACGCTTTCTACATAGCTAAGATGGCCAGAAATGGAAGGGTTGTTTTCTTTCTTCCTTCCTTCCTTCCTTCCTTCCTTCCTTCCTTCCTTCCTTCCTTCCTTCCTTCTTTCCTTCCTTCCTT